TATCTTAGAGTGGTTTTAATTTGCATTTCTCTGATTGCTAGAGATGGTGAGCATTTTTTCGTGTATTTGTTGATTGATTGTATATCCTCCTCTGAGAAGTGTTTGTTCAGATCCTTGGCCCATTTGTTGATTGGGTTATTTGTTTTCATCTAATTTTCTCTTTTTGAATACTATGTTCTTATAATCTTATTTTTTTCATACAGTTTTAAAATTTAATTCTTTAACATTCATTAAATAAATCTGAATCACTACTTCTTTTCTGCAAAACCTACTGTCTAATAAGGATTAACTTAGGAAAAGCGACCATATATGACACAATACCATCCAGCTAAATAATAAAAGAAACTTTMTCAGAACTTCTTGGCTCATACCCAGGCCATTCCTGATTTCACAGTCTTGTGCTAGTAATTTTCAAGTGAGACATTCAGGATGCATCCTCATAAAACATTGAATATTGGCTTGATTACTTATTCCATACCTGAAGCATAATATTATATAATTATAAATTATCTAGCTACTGTTTATAACAAAGTTGTGATAGGAAACTTTTCAGAAGTATTATTAGGAATTCTAGGAACACACTTTATTATGGCCTACGTAGTTAGTCTTTTGGGTCCTGTCTTTATTTCAGACTTGGAGGAAAGGTGCTACAGAGTGTAGCAGACTGTATGGGCCTTCTATTGCTTTCTGCTTTTCTTGCCATGTACGTGGCTAACAATGCTCTTGGTACGTTTTACCTAATAACCTTCTGTTTCTCTTGATTTTTTTTTTCTTTTTGTTATTTTGGTAAACCAGCAGCTATGCAATAACCTTGGCTGTGTTCTCCTTCCCAATTCTGTTAAAATAATAAGGATTTAGTTGGGGAAAAGAGATCATATACAATGGCTTTGAGTAAACAGGGTAAATGGGGCATGGACAGAGAAGTGGAAATGAGGCTGTGGGCATTGTGGATCAGTTGCAGCTAGATAGGTTCCTGGTAATAGGATGGAGACCATGCTGGAAAGCCCAGGTCATGGGAATTTGGTAAAAAAAGGATGAGAGGAGCTGAAATGGTATATAGCGAATGACAGTGAAAACTACTCATTTGGTATCTTTTTCTCTAGGAGAGCAGAGGAACAAGGACTGATAGGGCTCTACAGTGATTTCCTTTCTTTTTCCTTTTATCCCCTTTACCTTGTCATCATTTTTCCTACCCTTTCCCTTTTCTTCCTACTGCCTGTGAGAAGCCCCAGGGTAGAGTGTACAGTAAGTAGGATTGTACAGAAGCTTCAGAAGAGKAGTTTGGTTGATGTTTTCCTCGTTCCCTTTCCCTTCTTCCCATTTTCCACTCTCCAAATTTATAACAGTGTAAGAAGCACTAGGTTTTTGAGAGAGAGCAGGGAAAAAAAGGAAGAAAGGCTGGAGAAACTATTACAAGTGTGGATATCTAACAGGGAGTTACAGACGCTCTTTTTAGGAGGCTTAGATTTTTTATTTTTTTTATGTGGTGCTGAGGATCYAACCCAAYGCCCCKCGCCTGCCAGGCGAGCAGGTTACCGCTTGAGCCACATCCCCAGCTCCTAGAAGCTTAGATTTTAAAAACACATCCCTTAATAGGTGATTGCTTACTACTATTCTCTTGGTATCTGTTCTCTAGTAATATCTAGCTAACAAGGTTGAAGGAAGACACCATGTACTTAACACAGTGCTAGAAACATACAATGTAATGTATTGATTTTGTGTGAATATATTTTGGGTTTGTTTGATCTTTCTGATGTTTGCATGTGTAAGCACAATCTTTACTAAGTGAGATGCATTTAGTTGATAATTAGTTATGGAAGCAGCAGCACAAGGAGTTTGGTCAGCAGAACATGGGCTGTGAGGTCTTCAGTCAGGCCCTGCTGCTTTTTAGCTATCTCTGTCTTGGCTTGTCACGTGAGTGTGACATGTGACTTTAGTTTTCCTTACAGAATGAATAGTAAGAATAAGAACTTGGTACATAATAGGTACTCATGTAAATGCTATTTCTCTTTCTTTGTAGAAGTTATAGTTTTGTTTAGGTTATTAAACTAAACTAGTGTTTCTGATTTTTTTTGTTTAATTGGATTCTTGAAATACATTCAGTGTGGGATTGATAATAATACAGCCTTAGTTTATTTTACATTGAAATGAATCAACTATAAACATTTATCAGGAAGGGGTATTTGATTTTAAAATTATGAGCAACATCTTTAAAATAACTTATTGCTTTAAATAGGTATTTATTAAATATATGACATTAATCACAACCTAAATAAAAGGTACTAACAGACTTGCCACTAATTCATACCATTTTTATTGTTCTTTCATCCCTTCTAGTCCAGACTGATTTGTTATATTATCTTTAACAGTCACTTTTTATAAAGGTATTTTCTTTGTTTTTAGGTGTAAAACAAAGGTGTATCCAGATAATCTTCCTACAACAAGTGTCGTGATTGTTTTCCATAATGAGGCTTGGAGCACACTTCTGCGAACTGTCCATAGTGTCATTAATCGCTCACCAAGACACATGATAGAAGAAATTGTTCTAGTAGATGATGCCAGTGAAAGAGGTAAATTTTGATGGCAGTGATATCCTACACATTTTATCACTAATAGTTTRCAAATTAGTTGCTATAATTTTTATAATGATTTTATACAAACTTGTAATTTTTTGAAAAAATGCAGAGTATTCATTTAGCATTTAATTTGTATCACATCTTAATCTTATTTTATGTTTTTAAAATTATTTATTCTAGTTTGTTATACATGATAGCAGAATGCAATTTATTTCATATTACACATATAGAGCACAATTTTTCAAGCCATTTTGTATCTTCATACATGTACTTAGGGTAATGCTGTCTAACTCATTCCACCATCATTCCTACCTCCTTGCTCCCTCCCTTCCCCATCTCCCCCTTTGACCTATCTAAAGTTCCTCCATGCTGCACCCCCCCCCCATAGCGATTATGAGTTAGCATTTGGTTTTTTGGGATTGGCTTGCTTCACTTAGCATTATATTCTCCAACTCCATCCATTTACCTACAAATTCCATAATTTTATTCGCTTTTAATGCTGAGTAATGTTCCATTGTGTATATATACCACAGTTTCTTTATCCATTCATCTGGTGAAGGGCATCTGGATTGGTTCCACAAAGTAGCTATTGTGAATTGTGCTGCTATAAATTGATATGGCTGTGTCCCTGTAGTATGCTGTTTTTAAGTTCTTTGGGTATAAACCGAGGAGCTACATCAAATGGTGGTTCCATTTCAAGTTTTCCAAGGAATCTCCACACTGCTTTCCAGATTGGCAGCACCAATTTGCAGTTCCACCATTGATGTATGAGTATGCCTTTCTCCCCACATCCTCGACAACACTCATTGTTGTTTGTATTCTTAATAGCTGCCATTCTGACTGGAGTGAGATGAAATCTTAGAGACTTTTAATTTGCATTTCTCTAATTGCTAGAGATGTTGAACATTTTTTTCATATGTTTGTTGAGTGTTTGTATATCATCTTCTGAGAAGTGTCTGTTCAGTTCTTTGGTCCATTTATTGATTGGGTTATTTGGGGTTTTTTTTGGTGTTAAGGTTTTTGAGTGCTTTATATATCCTAGAATAGTGCTCTGTCTGATGTGCTTGTGGTAAATGCTTTATAATGTAAATGTTTATGAGAACAGTTAAAAAAAAMCACATAATTTTGTTAGAATTTCTTCTGTGGAAAGCTGCAGCCCTGAGTCAGTGAAAAAAAGACTAGATCCTACTTATAGCCATAATTGGAGAATTTTAGTTCTATGTATAGGAAGTACCTTTGACAGCAAAATGGAGTCTTAAGCTGGAGAGCCCTTAGTTCTTCAGATTCTTCCTATTTCTGTGGAGTTTCCTTATTTCTTTATTTCCAAGTTTCAGGAATCTTAAGTTCATTAAAAGATTAAGAAGGATGAGCGAAGCACTGTTGTGCACATCTGTAATCCCAGCAACTTGGGAGTCTTMAGGCAAGAGGATCACAATATTTGAGGCCAATCTCAGCAACTTAGTGAGACCCTATCTCAGGATAAAAAATAAAAAAGGCTGGTGATGTTACTCAGTGGTAAAGTGCTCCCAAGTTCAATCCCTAGTATGTAATGTAATAAAAGATTMTAATCTCTTAATAAATCTCTGCAATAACTCTTGCCCATATATTCTTCTAAAAATCTCAGAATTTTTCATAAGCTTACAGTCTCCTAAACAGTTTCATAAAGCACTCTTTTGGGAAAAGTTAAATTAATGTAATGGGCTGGCATTATTTATTCTGAATCCTTGTAGATTTCACAATGCAGTGTACTATAGGAAAAAAAACTTAGTCCATCAGTAGAGAAACTTGTCAAACTCAGCCAATATTTCCTAATTTTCTTATCCCCCCCCACAGTACATCTATTTAGGGATCATTGGTGTTGTGTGTTCCCCCAATATTTCTGTGTTTAGATAAGAAAAATTTGGAAAGCGTTACAGAAAACAGCTTCCTATTGCTTTTCTTTCCTTCCTTCAGCTTTAAAGTTCATGACCCATTGTTTTAACTTCTTTTGTTATTGTCTTCAACTTATCTTACCTACTCTATCATTGTGTCTCCTAAGATGGTTTAGTCAGGTATTCTACCCTTCATTTCTGTGCCTACACTGAATATTAATTATGGGGAGTAAATTATGTGTTAATAACAATTTAGGGCTGAGGTTATGGTTTAGCAGTAGAGCTCTTACCTACCAAGTGCGAGGTCCTGGGTTCGATTCTCAGCACCACATTAAAAATAAATAAATAAAATAAAGGTATTGTGTCCAACTACAATTAAAAAATAAATATTTTTAAAAATAACAATTTAAATGTTATTTTGCCAGATTTTACAGGTACAAATGAAGAATAAGATATGGTTCTAGGGCTAGGGATATAGCTCATTGGTAGATTGCTAACCTAGCATGTACAAGGCCCTGAATTGGATCCCCAGCACCTCAAAAAATAATAATAATAAATAATAATAATACAGTTACCTTCTCAAGTGCCTTGTATCTTCTTCCTTACCCTAATTAAAGGAATAATTTGTAATCACACAAAACATAAATACTCTAATGTGTAACAACTCAGTGTGAAATGAGAGTTGTTATAAATCACAAGCCTTAACAAAGAAATAATTACTATTGACAATAAAAATATAAGTTTCATATGGATTACTTTTTCCTATAAGTTTATTCCTCTTCAATAAATTATCCTAATTTAATTTAAGGAGCAATATATAAAAGTCAGGTATTGCTTAATAATGGGAACAGTTCTGAAAAATTTATTGCTAGGTGACTGTTATTGTGCAAACACAAAGTGTACTTACACAAACTAAGACAGCTGTGCCAACACTAAGTGATGTAATTTTGTGGACCACCATCATATATACGGTCCATCCTTGACCAAAATAGCATTATGCAATACATCGTGGTACAAACATCCTGCAAGTGATTTATGCTTGATTTACTTATGTGTTAATATTTGCTAAATTAAATATTTCTCAAGGAGAGATATTTTTCCACAAAGAGAATGAATTCTTTTTCCATTTCCTCCTTTGGTTTTCTCTTACTCTGTGAATGGCTGAAAAGCTATATAGAAGTAAGTTTGGGTAGAATATGGCTTCCTTAGAAATGTATTTGTACCCAAACTAAAGTGTTCACTCTAAAGTGAACTCAAGTATGCCAGCTCTCTTTCCTTTGCCTCATTCAGGCCTTTACTTAATGTCCCAAGTTTTGTAAATCTGAGTGAAAACTGATGTGGGAAGATGTCTGCTTTGCTGGTTCACCCAAGGCTCCTAATTTCCAGGCAGGGTCTCCTGAATGCTACCTCAGAGTCTCTGTTCTGGGATCTGATTCTCTTTTTATCTTTTTTCTTAGAAAGTGTCAAGTATCCAGGTCCTCATGTTTGATATAGGGGAACCTTAGGTATTATTTTCCTTGTATAGCTACAGACTTTGCTGTACAGATTGAGAATTRTTTAGATAACCCTTCCCATCTGTTTACCCCAGTATGAACAGAATGGGCCTTTAATTATAAAAACATGACTGTGTGACTTCTCTGATTAAGGTTTGTGTCACCTAACTCTATCTGGCATTTCCAGGCACTTCTTGAACCATTCCCTGCCACTCTGGTCCTATACTTCTGTCCTTTATTCATAATTTTCTTCTTTGAATTTGTTAAAAGAACCATTCTTTCTGTCTCAGAACCTTTCACCTCTACTGTTGCTATTCTTTATTCTAGAACATGTTCTCCTTGACCTCTCCAGACCCTGTCACATCTCTCTGAACACATCTTGGAACACTTCCTATTCTTCTACAGTGCTTAACAGAGTTTCCATTATTGACTTGTATGTTTAATGTCTTATGTTCTTCTATAACACTAATCCSTCCATCAGGGTTGTTTGCTCACAATTATCTCCTCAGTACCCACAGACTGTTTACATAGTGCACATTTATTGAATGCATGTTCTACCATCCTTTAATGCTCTGTGCAGACTTTCTTTTTTTTTTTTTAATTTGTCTTATACTTTCTAATTGGAGTATATGGTATGCATTGTCTGCGCATGGCCTCAAGAGTACTTGATTTCACAGTTAACCTTCTGAGAAGCTCTATTTATTAAAAAAGTATGAAGTAGATGCTCCAATTATCCCTATTTGATATCTAGACTCTGTAAACTCAGGGCCTGACCTCTTAACTTCTGCATATATCACTTCTGATTGCCTCTGACAGAACTTTACTATTGTATGATCTGTAATGAAGTCCCAGAAAGAATAAATCCCTGGTTTGTGTCAGTAGTTACGGGATCATAACTTTAAAAGTTTATCTTAACTCTTAGAATTTGTATAAGATTCCTAATCGGAAATGGTTGTTGTTTTTCTCATTTTACACATAAGGAAGTCAATTAGTCAGATTTATTAGCTTCTACATTTCTTGTTCTTCCTACTACTCTTTAGAGTTCCAATTAATATTTCTCTGATGTTGCTATGAATGGTGAGATTTTCCCTTTCTCACTAATAGCTTCATACTTCCTGATGGAGAGTTGTTTAGGGGTCCATTTATAGGACAATAACTATAGATATTCTAATAAACAAGATTCACTCTTATTTTTATGTGAAGTAATGGCTTTTAAAAAATCTTTATTTTAATACTTTGTAAAAGGGAAGATTAAAAACATGCACTTTCATCTCTTTACTAAAGGAACAGGAATACTGCTCAAATCTTTGAGGCAGAAAACCTATAATGCTGAAAGATGAAATCTTGAAACTTTATATCTCAGAAAGAGTGAAAACAAAAATGTGGAGGTATGGACCCCATGAATTATTAGTATAAATAGTTGAAGAAAAGATAGTAGTTTCTAACCACAGTCACTTCACTTCTCATGGCTTCATTTTTGTAAAGTGTGACTTGATATTCCTACTTTTCCCGCCCGGTTTGTTACATTATCATACACAGTCTCATGTATTTTTTATTTTGTGCATCAACTAGAAACAGTTATGTATTTCAAAGGTGTGGGATCTGGGGATTAGATTACTTTAGTTTTTAGGAAGTATTTTACACTAAATTTTTATATATTTTTTTGGAAAAAATTGTTGGGAGACATTTTTTATGATACAATCAACTTTTCTAACCTTAGGTACAAGAATATATCTCATACCTACCACATGAGATTCTGTCAAATTCTCGAGATAGAGTATTTTAAATTGATGCTGGATCAGGTGTTTCCACAACCCTAAATTGTTCTCTTTAGCGTTTCCTTCTAGGGTTTTCTTGCTCTGGACAAAAAGGTGGGCTTTGAAGGCAGGTAGAACTGGGTTTGACTCTTGCATCCAACCCCATAACAAGCTATGTCACCTTGATTGAATTTATATAACTTTCTGAGTCTTAGATTTTCATTTCTAAAGTATGCATAATAACATTTAACCTCACAGGGTGGTTGTGAAGATTCAGTGAGGTAAAACATGTAACAAGTTAGCATTGTGCTAAATAGGCACAAAATGTTAGCTGCTAACTGCAAAATGATGCTTTTTTCCTGGGATTTGCAGTTCCCACCTTTTTACTCATAATCTAATTAGGTATTCCTGATCTGAAGGCTTAGTTCATAAAACCATACTGATATTTGTTAGATACTATTTTTAGCTCAAATATTAGGAAGTATATTAGCAGAAATGGAAATTACTTGTAATCTGGATGGTTTCTATATCCCTGATTACTTCATTATTGACTCATTTTGCTTTTACCAAACAGGAATCACATCACTCCCATTTGTCCTCCCTACCCCACTATATAGGAAGTACTTTGGATTCCTATGCTCAATATTTAAAGAACCCCTTAATTTACATCCTGATTTCTGTGAATTGCTAGAGTCCTATTAGATAGAGCTAGTCAGAGAAATCCCAGTAGTTCCATCTCAATATTTCCATTCCTACAGAAATTATCCTTACATTTGTCACATGGGGACTAGTTGAAGACATCTGGTCATGTTACCATCAATCGATAACTTCTCTGCCATAAAATCCTAAAAAGTGATCTGATTCAAAAGATCTTTTCTCTTTACTTTGATAAAGCTGTGTCTTTTCTACTTTTTAGTCAGTTGTGAACTTTGCAGGCAGGACATGCTTGCCTTACAGATAATAACCTCTTATATGACCTCTCCAAGATAGTTCTCCCTTTCCTTTTTACTTCCTTTTCATCTTTAATTGCTCCTCCCTCTTAAAAGCTTTTTTCTTAGACCTACTTTTCTGTTAAGGATCTCTCTGTGGCTTTTCAGTTACAGTCTAGTATTTCTCATTTGTTTCACCTCACTTCTTTCCTCCTAATAAAAAAAACTGTATAATCAGAGACTGTGGCAATCAATAAGACAGAGTGCTTCTGCCTCTGAGGAAATTTCACARTTTTCAGAACTGTAATAGCTGTGGCATATTCTCTTCTCTCTGTTGAGGTCAGGATTTAATACTCCTAAACTACTTTCTTTGAATTGATGATCCTTAAGTATGGTTAGAAAATGAAGCATTAAGCCTGGCAGAGTTACTTAGAGAAGTGTTGTGACATGCCTATCCTTGGTGAAGCCAGAGCCAAGATGCTGTCAGAGCTCCACATGTAATAAGAGAGAGGCAGCTMTAGTCCATGCTGTCATGAAATGGAAAGTCTTCCTTCAGGGAAATACATTGTGAGGCATGGTGGGAGTGCTTAGTAAATACACATCAAAGGAATACTGCAAATCAAAATTGCTTTACATCTAGATAGTGCTAGTTCAGAAGTTTTCATGATATTGTTTTGTTAATTTTTTCAGACTTTTTGAAAAGACCTCTAGAGAGTTATGTGAAGAAACTCAAAGTGCCAGTTCATGTAATTCGAATGGAACAGCGTTCTGGATTGATCAGAGCTAGATTGAAAGGAGCTGCAGTGTCCAAAGGCCAGGTGATCACCTTCTTAGATGCTCATTGTGAGTGCACAGTGGGATGGCTGGAGCCTCTCTTAGCAAGGATCAAACATGACAGGTAATTTTTTGGAGTCTTAAATTTGTTCTCAGTACATTTGTCCTAGACTACATGATGAGTTGGAAGATTCTTTATTTTTAAATAAATACAAAAATAATTTCTTCTTGAATTGTTTTTAAAATGTCCTTGGTGCCAAATGCCTTAATCCCAGCAACTCAGGAAGCTAAGGTAGAAAGATCACAAGTTTGAAGCCAGCCCCAGCAACTTAGCAAGGCCCTAAACAACTTAGTGAGACCCTGTCTCAAAATAAAAACAGAAAGTGCTGGTGATGTGGTTCAGTGATTAAGGGTTCCAGGTATTCAATCCCTGGTATCAAAAAAAAAAAAAAGCCCTGAAGATTCTAAACAAAGTAAGAAGAACATGACCTAAACTCTGGCAATAATGTGTACAAACTATTTTATTAGTGGGAATGAATAATGTGTACAAACTATTTTATTAGTGGGAATTGTTAAATATTCACCACCAAACAGGAGCAAACATCTGGACAATGAACTCGAGGATGGCAGGATAAAAACCTTTACTGTCCCTACTCTTTAGGGTAACACTGGGACAGGTCATCTCAGCTCTGTCTGAGATTTAGGAATGAATTGGTTGCATAAAGATAACATAACCTTTAGAAACAAGAGTTTGAACCCATAGAGAAAGAGCAGTGTGCAGTGATACAGTATAAAAGAGAACTGGCCAAAATAACAAACACAGTTACTTCCATTTGGGGCTGTGTGGTGGATTAGATGTTCTGAGTAACTTTTTCAAGTGAAAAAGATAAAATATCAGATAAAATACAATACAAAATTTTAAATGCATCATTGAGTTGACACAGAGGTTTTAAGAATTTTGCCAATCTTATAACAAAGTGAGAGCAAATGAGTTGTCCAAACATTAAAGCCAGCTTTCAATTACATGGTTTATGCTGAACTCTGGAGACACTGAGCTTTTGCCTTGATAGGTAAATAACATGAGAGGACAGGAGGCAAAGCCTAGGCCTTACCTAAGGTGAGAAGATTAATAGCAAATACCCATATAAAGCTGTGATCTGAMATCTATACCTCAGTGTGAGAATGATATATAGACTCCACCATATCAAAATAAACTTGCCTGTCTCAACCTTAGTATGGGATGGAAGAGGGGAAACAACTTTCCYATAGGGCTTTGTAAAACAGAGTATAGGAAAAATGGAAACAACCAAAATCTAAGGCTAGAGTAACTTGCTTACAAAAAAACAGAAAGAACTATGAGGAAAATTATAGTCCAAACCCATTGTGAATGCTAGCATAAAAATTTCACAATACCTGCAAATTGAACCCATCAAAACATACACACACACACACACACACACACACACACACACACATACACATATAACTAATTGGTTTAGTTTAAAATCCATTTCTGTAATAGTAAAACTATAATTACAAACTTATTAGAAGCCTCTGAGATCAATTCCATAAATAGAGAAAAAGAGCGTTCACTAAAACTTAACATCCATTTGTTATAAGAAAATACTTAGTAAGCTATTATGGAATTAAAATTTACTAATCCAAGAAAGAATGCTTTAAAAAAAAATAAAAACCCTTCATAAGCAAACGCTATATAAAAGAAAAACTGTTGAAAGCAGCAGTATGGTGGTGCACACCTGAAACCCAGCTGTTTTGGAGATTGAGATGGGAGCATCTCAAATACAAGCCCAGCTGGGCAACATAGTGAGTTTGTTTTTGAAAAGATAGGGAGAAAAATAAGAATGCCCTGAATTGGGCTGAGGGTGTAGCTCACTGGTAGAGCACATGTGAGTACATGGGTTTGATCCAGAGCACCAAAAGGAAACAAATCCTAAATCACCTCTGTTGGTATCATTAGAAATCTTAAATTTTTGCAGTAGAAGGGGAAAAAAATACTCTGAATTGCAAATGATATTCTTGTCTGTGAAGGATAATCTGTATACAAAATAATAGAAATTATAAGAATTTAACAATATGGCCAAATATGAGAAAAGTAAATTGCTCTCTCTAAACCAGCAAGGAATAGTTAGAAAATATATAGTAAAAACAAAAGATACCATTTAAAAATAGTGATAGAAATCATAATCTGTACTTAGGATTATACTATCAAAAGATGCATGAAATATGAAACCACTAAAATTCACTGAAAATAGATCAAAATGAAACAAGGGAAGATAAGGCTTATATTCATGAATAGAAAAGTCATTATTGGGGGCTAGGGATATAGCTCAGTTGGTAGGGTGCTTGCTTCACATGCACAAAGCCTTGGGTTCAATCTTTACCACCTCCCCCCTCCACGGAAAGTCATTATCATAAAAATACCAACTTTTCTCAAATTGGTCTGTAAATTCAATGAGTTTTCAATTGAAACCTCAGAATATTTTTATTTTTTGAGAAATTTGACAAGCTGGTTCTAACATTTTCATGGAAATGCAAAAAAGAACAAAAATGGTTAAGATGGTCCTAGAGGGAGTAAGCATAAGGGAACTTGTTCTGCCAACTGTGAAGATTTATTTTAAAGCTATATTAATTATGACAATGACATTGTTGTAGAAATTCATAAAAAGATTAGTGAAAGGGCAGCCTCAGAAATCAGCCCATTTTCACATGCATACTTGATTTAGATAGAGTTTATGACAGAGCAGGTGCTGATAATTATAGCAGAGGAAAAAGGGACTATAAATAAATAGTGCTGGAACAATTGGTAATCCCTAAGGAAAATAAGGTTGGATACCTCTGYTTATCATACCCAAAATCAGTTTCTTAAAGATTAAAGACTTAAATGTGAAAAGCAAAAATATACTTCTTTGAGGGTTTTTTTTTTTTCTCCTTTTTTTGGATGATGCTGGGGATTGAACCCAGGGCCTCATGCATGCAATCAATTTTATGATCTTGGGGGAGGGAAAGATTTCTTAAGTAAGATCAAAGGCTGGGTAGGATATTACATACTATAAAATTTGGCTAGCAAAGACTCTAGGGCACATTCCCTTACAAAGAGCGGTTGTCATTCATGTGTGTTTTCAGACTTATTTTTAAAACCCCAAAATACCAGTTGAAAATCCCTTCAATTTATGATCAACTAGTTTGTATGAAGAAATACAAACCTGAAGGAAAAGTATATTAATAATTAGAAAATGCAAATTTTTAAAATACAGAGATATTATTTAATGTTATTATATAAGAAAAAGCATCCAAAATTGATAGCATTATGGGAAAGCTGCATGAAGAAGTCTATACATATGCATATAACATTTCTGGAAAACAAGAAGGAATAGAGCCTTTAATTTACTAACCTCACTGCTGGAAGTTTACTCTTAAGGCAACAGTTAAGTCACTTAGTATCTCATTAGCAAAAAAAAAAAAAAAACTGTAAAGAACACAAATGTCCAAGAGTTGTTTATTAAGAAAATACTTTGAAATGACTATAGTCACTAAAAGTGTAATCTTAAAAACCTGTAGAAATAGTTTGCATTTTTTACATGTGGCATATATGCAAAAGTGTAAATGAAAAAGGAACAGAAGATTATCAACCAACACATAATCATGATGTTAGCTACTGCAGGAAGTTTTTTCATCCTTATCTTTAACATTATAGAGTATGTTTTTATTTTAAAAACAATTGGTGTGTAATTGTTATATAACTATGGTAAGCAGCAACATTCTGAAAGATTTTTAAATTGCTTTTTATAATATTAGGAGAACAGTGGTATGTCCTATCATTGATGTGATCAGTGATGACACTTTTGAGTACATGGCAGGCTCTGATATGACTTATGGTGGATTCAACTGGAAGCTTAATTTTCGCTGGTATCCTGTTCCCCAGAGAGAAATGGACAGAAGGAAAGGTGATAGGACTCTTCCTGTCAGGTAAAGTATTATTGACAGAGGATTGTAAAGCTTTGGGAGTTGTATCAAAAAGATTATAAGTGTAATTGGAGAAACATGAAGTAATTGTGTATCTTATATGTAGTTTAAGAGCCAATTTCACATATATCAATATTTTTAAAAGGAATTTTTCCTCCAATCAGTTAATAAAATTAGAACTTTTCCATGTATTCTAAAAATCTAACATACATGAAATATGATGACATATTATTTCATTTCTCTATGACCATTTTGAAAATGTCCAATCTGCTTTAATTCATTTGTTAAAGATAATAATATTTAGCATAAATCAAACTGACCCTTAATGAATTGTGTCAGTATATAAAAACATTACTTAAAACTGGATCCTTGCACTACAAGAGAAGACCTTTAATTCAGTCTCATACCATCTGGATGATAGTTCCTATCTGGTAAGGCTAGCAAAGCTTTTTCAAACATAAAAATAACTAGAATTAACAAAGTACAAAAAAGATATCCATTAATTCATTTTTTAATTTTTATTTTGTTTCACATTTGACTATATATAGATTTTTTTCCCAGAAAAATCTTTATGTAGTTCAGAATATGAGATCTTTGCACTTTTTGCATCATCTAGGATTTATCCCAGTTGCATCCACATGTTGCTTCTGTAGTATTTAAGAGTTCTTTCAGTTTCTTTAGGCTTCTGCTTTCTCCTATTCTGGACTTCTGAGGTCTGCTTTCCCATGAATTCAAGTCCAGTTCTAGCTAAGTTGAGATTTTTCACTGTTTTTTTTTTTTTGTCCTAAGCCAGCCTGAGTTCTTACCAGGACAAGGTATATTCCCTCTCTGTAGATGTTAGTTCAATTCAACATCTAAATTAGGGGTTCTTCAACAATTTGAAGATGATGGACTTATTTGAAAGTCTGATGAAAGACATGAGTCTTCTCCAATGGGAAAAGATGCACATGGACTTAGAGAAGATTTTAGCAGGTCAGGTATCCCTATACTAAACAGTAGCTCTGCATGTTGGCCTGTGTCCTTTGACTCCTAATATTTTTAGCCTTTTCTCATTCTTTTTCTCTTTTAAGATCAAAATAAGTCCAAATTTTTTTGGAAACAATTTTCCACACTAATAGGCAAGTGCTGTTATCTTAAGTAGACCATGGAATTAAATATATTTTAGGGCTATAGAAGTGACCAGTTCATCTTAAAATATAATCTTTATAATATCCTCAGACCCTAGTACTTACTTTCTCCTTGCTGGAGTCTGTGTTATCTCCATACTCATTCTTTGTGGAAATAAAATGATTAACTGATACTCATTTTAAATAAATGAAATCATTTAAATAAATGAAATCTCCCTGAAATTATTCTTTATTATGATTTCTCTGCTTAATCCACTTATGCCCGCCGACCCCAATCCCTTGCATACCTGGTGCAATGATTTGGGCTCCACTTTGGAGAAAACATACCGTACTTGGTCAAGGTGATGATTTTATTAAGAATATTTAATGGGCTGGGTACGGTGGCACACACCTATGATCCTAGTGGCTTAGGAGGCTGAGGCAGGAGGACTCGAGTTCGAAGCCATCTTCAGCAAAAGCAAGGCACTAAGCAACTCAATGAGACCCTGTCTCTAAAAAATACAAAATAGGGCTGGGATGTGGTCTAGTGCCCCCGAGTTCAATCCCTGGTATCCCCCCCCCAAAAAAAGAATATTTAATAGAATCATTAAGATTTAATAGAATTATTAAATTATTCTGTTAAGCATAGGAAAAGGGCCTTATCATTTTCAGTCCTATTTAATATTATGACTTTTGAGTATTTGCCACCTTTTTGAATCTGGCATATAACTCTAACATGAGTTCATATAGTCAACTAACTGCCTTTATAATTGCTAGGAACTGTGTAATGTGTACACAGTCACATGGAGAGGATTATGAGGAATAGCTTCAGTTTAAGGAGTTTGAAGTGGAATCGAAGTCAGAATTGAGAACAGAGAAAGGTGCTCAAGACAGGGAACATCCTTAAGACTTGCACAGTGAGGGATATCCAGGCAGAAACTGACAGTGGGTCCAGCAGATAGCCTAAGCAGTATACAAGTCTTGTCTGACACCAAAAGCCTTTAGAAGCCTTTGAAAGTTTTTGAAGAGTGAGCATAAGCATTATTCTGTAGTTAGAAACAGTTACAAAACTATAGTATCTTTTAAAAACAAAAACTCATTGTAGTAGGAAAGATGGTGGAATGAGATGGACATCGTTACCCTCAGTACATGTAGGAAGATACAAATAGTGTGACTCTACTTTGTGTACAATCAGAGAAATGAAATAACAAATTTATTCTATTATTCTATTATTTGTTATTCTAATAACAAATTAAATAATTTTTTAAAAATTCATTGTAAATTTTTAATCATTAATATTAATGATATAGTATTATGATTGAATTTCAGAACACCTACAATGGCAGGAGGCCTTTTTTCAATAGACAGAGATTACTTTCAGGAAATTGGAACATATGATGCTGGAATGGATATTTGGGGAGGAGAAAACTTAGAAATTTCCTTTAGGGTAAGTTTCTTTTGAAAAAATTAAGTCTTGTATTTAACCTCAAATATTATGCTTTGATTATTCATGTTATCTCTAAATAAAAAATAAAATTGAAGTTAATGTGAGTTTAATCTGACTCCAAAGCCTTCGGCCCATAAAAACTTTAGGAATACTATTAAGGGTTCATTATAAACTATTTAAGCAAATAATACAATTAATTATCTTAATAGTCCAATTATAAAATTTACATAAGATTCCCTAATTGTTTTTAATTTCTATCATTTTCAAGGAAACAATTCAAGCTYTAAAAAATAATATGTAGTTTATATATGTTACTTTGGTACTTAACTGCKAAAACTTAATTTCATATTCTGTGATATACTTTTTGTCTTATATGAAAATTTTTCATTTATATATAATACCTGGTCATTTTATCAGCTTTAAATTTTTCAATAAAAAATAGAGTRCAAAACTTCTAAAACTGGCTCTAAATTAATTTAACACAGTTGACCTTATATCAAAACCATTTCATGTTCACTAAAATCAACATATTTAGATGACGTTATATATTCAGTAATTAACTCACAACACATATCTCACTATAATAGAACCATACTGAAGGGTACTGTAATCTGAACCCTTGAGCTCACTTATTTCTAGTGAATCCCTTTGYCCTCTTGTAAAAGGAGAGGGTTGGGCCCTAGATCCTCTAGGAGATATATCTAGCTTTAACACTTTTTAGATCCTGGGTAAACTTGAAGATAGGCTGTAAATAGTTAATGAAATCAAAACCTTTCAAAATGTGATTTTAATTGCAAAYAGCTATATGAGATTTTTTAATTTAGGGAGAAAATATATTTGAAAGGACAAGTATTTTGCATTAAATACTTGTCCTCATACTTGATCTTTTCCCCCTTTTTTGTTTTTATTGCTTTTACCACAAAACATTATCACTATCTCCCTGAAGAACTTATGATGGATCTGATTTCAATTCCTATGTTCTGTCTAATGTACAAATAGTGACACAGATTAGAGAAGGGAGGAAAGAAAATCTGCTGGTTACTACATGGTCAGTTGCATGTTTTGTTTTGTTTTTAACCAAGAATCACATTAATAAACACATTATACACAAACAAAGCAATAGTATGTCCTTGTTAACGAGGACTGGTCGTAATTCTGATATTTGAATTTATGATCCTCTTATGAATCCTGGCCTGTGTTTAGAAAAATAAGTGTTCAACATCTTCTGTCTCTTCTGTATTTAGCCTTTAATATATCTTTTCTGTGTTTTAATCTGCTATTTTTCGTTTGTTCAAAATTGATGATTGGAGAAACGTTTGCTCCTGAGAAGCAGTGGCTTTGTAATCAAATAACCACTGTTTGCCTGGGATTCTATGAAATTACAGCTATAAAACTCAATAGATGTCAACAGTTTAGGTTTTTTTTTTTTTTTTTTTTTTTTTTTTTAGAAAATCAATGTTTGATATGGCCTTCTTTACTGTTTTCAGATTTGGTAGTGTGAAGGTAGTTTGGAAGGTTTTTAACAGTAAATGAAGATTTTCCATTTAAGTTTAAATAAAAGCCAAACCTCTACTCATTTGAAAGGAAAATTGCAATGAGAAGACTAAGATTATCTTTTCCTGGATACTGAGCAATGTATTACATGGTCTTCTTTGCATTGTGTTCAGATTTGGCAGTGTGGAGGAACTTTGGAAATTGTCACTTGCTCACATGTTGGACATGTGTTTCGGAAGGCTACCCCATACACATTTCCAGGAGGCACAGGGCAAATTATCAATAAAAATAACAGACGACTTGCAGAAGTATGGATGGATGAATTCAAGAATTTCTTCTATATAATTTCTCCAGGTTAGTTTATTTTGCATTAGAAATAAAAGGCTATATACTTTCTTCCCCCATCTATGCATTCTGAAGAGAGGCAAGAGGGTAGAAATGAAGCTTTGAGCATGAACACTTGCCCTATAATGAGGTCATGGTAAGAAGTAATGAAACCACAGTATAGAATGTGCTTGGCAAAGTGCCCAGTGTATCATTGGCAATAATACTAAATTATCATGGTCACTTTTGCCAGCCCAGGTGGTGGTGGTGGTTGGTAGTGGTTGTCATAGTCTTCATCTTCTTCTTCCTCTTCTCCTGCCCCACCTCCTCTTTCTCCTTTTCTTCCTCTTCTTCCCCTCTTCTCCTCCTCTCCTCTTCCTTCCTCCCTTCTTCTTTCTTCTCTTCCTCCTCCTCTTCCTTCTTCTTTTTTAACCTAACTGCAGTGTTTGACATTTATTCTGTGATGTTTCAGCTATTTTCCAGGCTTGTATGACTTTCTGGATTCTTAACTTTTTTTGATCAAAAAAAACAAAACAAAACAGTGTTTTAGCATTAGGTCATGATTATTCTCTGAAAGCAGGCTCTTGAAGCCATCATACAAGATTTTGTTAAATTGTCAAATATCACAAGTCCTATGCAAAGCTCTTGAACATGGTCTCTAGGAACATTTCTCTGCTATTCAGAGTTTTGTGGGAACTATTGTTTCATTAGCTATAAATCCGCCTGACATTGTTACAATTCTGTCCTCTTTTTTTAGTTACCACAAGTCTAACAAATAGTAGTGTGTACAATTCAGTGAGTTGTATAAGAGAAACCTGACTGGAAACAAGTGTACTATTTATTATTTAGCAAAATAGATTTTGATTTTTTTTCTGTTTTTCCAGAAGATATATTAAAGTTTGATTCCYATATAGCTTGTATTTGCATATATTGTTAGTATGTATTTTATTCTCACATAAATGTAGTTTTCTTTTGAAAGATTAAAATACATTTAATGTCTTTTCCTTGTTTTATACGTTAGAGATGGATTCATGGTRTGTAACTATGTAATCATGTCACCTAAATAATACTATTTTTCTATTCAACTGTCTTATTAGAATCAACATATAAATGGATTTGTATTACTTGATAGGACACTAATAATTCAGCATTAATTATTTCTTTCAACAGGTGTTACAAAGGTAGATTATGGGGATATATCATCAAGACTTGGTCTAAGACACAAACTACAATGCAAACCTTTTTCTTGGTACCTAGAGAATATTTACCCTGATTCTCAAATTCCACGTCACTATTTTTCATTGGGAGAGGTAAAAACATGTATTCTTTGTGTTTATTATATTCTTAGTTCCTCATTTAAAAAACATAGAGATTAAACTTTTAATTTCTAAGATACTTCAGAGTACCTTCAGATTAAAATTAAGTAATCTCAAGTGTGGAAAAGTTCTTATTTACAGTGTCTGCCTCATGAGTTGAAATATTATTTTATCATGTTATATTTTATTAAAATAAGGATGCTCTATCTTGTTACAATATAAATATCTTCAATAAACTTACTTTTTAACAAACTAACCCATTTACTTGATCACATACTCATAAAGCTTATATACTAGTTTTAGTCCCAAATCAAAGCTTAAGAAATTTTAAAGTCAAGATAAATTGTAAAGACTGACAGAGAAGTTTGAAAGATCATTCATAACATTGTATTTTTGGCAAATTTTATCCTTTGGGAGTTGTAAGTCTTGGTTTGGGCAGGGAAGTTGGAAAGAATGTCGATAAACATGTTTGTTTCTGGTGATGCTTTTAGTTATTCTCTTAGAATTCAGCAGCARATGTTCTTGAAATCTGAAGTAGTCTCTGCTTATTAATGCTTCTAATTAGTTAAAACAAATTAGTTAAGCTTTGGAGGTTAGCTTTTTATCCCAGAGAATTCCCATACTGTAAGGATCTCTTATAAGAGAGACATACTTACATTCTTACTACTGCCGTCTTCCTCGAATGTCAATGGCCATCCATTCTGTGTTCCATCTAGGCCTTGGCTTTGTCTAGGGATCCAAATAGGTTCTTCCTCTAGCCCAGAATTCTGATTGTTATTGTTATTAATCCAAAATGTTGACTCTGGAGGTCAGTCTTCCAGAAGCCTAAGTTCAAACTTTTTTCTTAGAAGCGGACACAACTGTCTTCATCTGTAGCCCTTTTAAATCCCTGTTCCTTCCTCCATTCCCAAGAAACAAGAACCATTTTCTTTTTTGTTAATTTTCTTTTTATTCTCTGTTGTTGACTTCTTAGTTGTAATGCTTGTGTTTTTGTTTTCATAGTTGCTGTAGAGATTTCAGTATTCATCTCTGAAGTATCACAGTCTACCTTAAGTTAGTGCTTTCAACAGCTTGCAGTTTAACTGATGTTTTGCCTCTAGTTTTTAATGCAGAGGTGTTGGATTACTGTGTCCTACCAAGAAGCAGTGCCTTTCCTTCTCTTCTTTATTATAGTAGAACACTCCAAGTTTTAGGACTATAAAGATTTGAGATATCCTTTATTAATAATCTTGCAGTTTCTTCTTTATCATTGTTAAAGAAGTTGAAGATCCATGTTATCACTGCTGAAGTCAGTGATTTTTAACACAGCCCAATACTGGATTGTAAATCAATTCAGCTGCTTTTGACCACCATTTTTTTTAATAGTCTGGGAAAAAAGTACAAATTCGTATTGCTCACAGTAAAGTTTTTACTGAATCATGATGAGAAAATATATTTCTCAATATCAGTTACAATCAAAAAAGTTTGAAAGCCTCTGTCTTTTAAAGGATACATCACAATTCTTTTTTGACTAGTTTTATATTATAGAATATACTCACTATCAGATGTTTTCTATCTGTTAGCCTCTTCTTTTATTGTCCACCGTTCCAGTAGATACACTTTCTTTTCTGCATTCTGTCCCTTTTACCCAGAGAACACAGGCCTCCTACTTTGCATAAAACAGCCATTATTTCTTTTTCTACCCCTGCACAGACTCCTTTGCTTGGAATTGGCTCATTTTTTCTGGGATAGTCTTAGCACTTAAAAGACTTACTTGTACATAGGCCCTTTGTGAAAAGATGTAGCCATCCTTGTTTTGACTCCATAGTTATTTGACTTACAGAAAAATTGTAGAGAGGGAAAAAGAAGAGTTATYCCAGTACCATAGGCATGTATTTGGTAGTCCCTGACAGGGATCAGCACACCATGGCCTGCAGGCTAAGTCCACCCTGTTGCCTGTTTTTGTAAATGAATATGTATAGGAACATGGCCATGTCCCTGAATTTACTTACTGCATTTARTTACTTTTGCACTACAGCAGTAGAGTTGAATAATTGCCATAGAGACCATATGACCCAGAAGACTAAAATATTTACTTTCAAATATATTTACTGAGCCCCGGAATATGCAGTCAGGAGCAATCACTGACAACCTTCCTTATCCTCATCTATTGTTACAGCTTGTGTTTGAACACTTGGAGCTTTTATTGAGRTATTTTCTTCAAATGATAAAATTAAACTTCTTTGCTTCCTTCCCCCTTTTTATCCCATAAGTGTAAATAATACTGTTTTGCTCCCACCTCTCCCCAAAAGTCAAATCCATTGGGTTAATGTGCCTGAAGATATGTGTATAGTGTATAAATAATCTTGCCTTTTCTGCTATTCTTTCCCTATAGCAATGTGTTTTGTTAACAGGCTGAACCATCTGCAATTCATTGCAGGTCTTTATGAGCTTTTGATTATAAAAACGGCTTTTATAGAAAGAACAAGAAGCAAAATGAGGTGAAAATCCAACCTTTTATGATAGAAATTGATAGGACAAAATTTCCTTTTCAAAGGCATAGTAGCAAAAGATGACATGTGTGACCAGGGCCATAGCCAGGCCCTATCCTAACAGTTAATCTTTCTAACACTCAGGAAGTAATCCCCTCCCTACTCTATAGGAAGTTGTCTCTTCTTCAGTTCATTCATTCAGAAATATTTATTTCAGTACCTATTATGTAATAGATACTATTTAAGTACTAAGGACATAGTAATGAATAAAGATCCTGCCCTTGTTGATATTACAGTCATGGGGGAAACAAGTTATGAAAAATATACAGTATATCAGATGATAGCCAGAGCCGAAAGAATAGAGAACAACTAGTAACCGTGGACAATGGTGCTGTTTTTTGTAGGGTAGTTGAGACAGCCTTCTTATAAGGTAATTTACTGAGCAGAGATCTGAAAGAAGTGAGTGAGCAAGTCATATAAATTTGTGGGGAGGGGATATTCTGAGCACCAGTAACACCAAGAACAAACATTCCTAAGATGTGCATGCACTTGGCATATTCAGCAGGGAGGGAGTTGTCTAGAACAGAGTGAACAAGTAGAGGGATAGTAGAAGATAAGGTCAACAACATAATGAGGGTTAGGTCATACAGAACATATAGTAGTGAGGACTCTGGATTTTATTTTGGTGGGAAGACAAGCAATATGAGCAAACTCCTTTGAAAAAAAAAAAGATCAGATTGCCTCTATATGGAGCATAAATATGTGGGAGCAAGAGTCGAACAGTGTATTAGTGGAAGGAAAAGAATAGTCGAGGATTATATTAAGGTTTTGACTTGAAATACCGGTACTGGTAGAGTTGGCATTACTGAGATGAAAATGTCTGTAGAAAGAGGAGCCTCTGAATGGATTCAGCAGAGCAGTTTGGAGCACATTAAATTTGAGATCCAAGGGAAGATGTTGATTAGGTAGTGACATTTAAAAATCTGTAGTTTGGGGAAGAGGTTGGCACTGGAGATCTAAATGTAAGGGTTGTCAGCATATATATGATTTTTATTCACAAAACTACATAAGGTTACCTTGGGAGGAGCAAMTACATGTGGAGAGAGAAGACTGAGGACAAAGCCAAGGGAACTTCACAGTTGAGAAACCATGGAGATAAGAAAGAATCACAAAAAAATTTTGAGAACTAGACAGTGAAATAGAGGGAGWACTGAGAGAATGGTGTCTCAGAGACTATGTAAAGTATTTGCCTCAAGAAAGAATAAATAATCAATTGTTTTGAATACTACAGAGAAAACAAGCAAAATGAGTACTGAGATCTGATCTGGCCAAGGATATGCTGTAAGTAGTGTCAAGAGTTTCCATGGAGATTGTCAGGAGAGAATGGGAGAACTGTAGATCATGAATGTTTAACAGTCTTGCAAGGAATTTTATTGTAAAGAAGAGCAGAAAAATGGGTGTTAGCTAGAAGAGGATATGTAGTTAAGGAAAGAGGTTTTTTTTAATTTTTATTTATTTATTTATTTAGATAAAACTGGGCCATATGAGTTAGGCACAAAAGAGAAAATTGGAACATACAAAAGAAGGACCATTAGTCTGACTTGTGTCAAAAAAAATGACAGTAGCACGTGTGGGAAAGGTGTGGAAAAATCTAAACCTTGTGCACTTTTGGTGGTAGTGTAAAATGCTACAGCTGATCTGGAAAATGCTATGGAGGGTTTCTCAAAAAATAAAAAATAGAGGGCTAGGAATGTGGCTCAGTGGTAGAGCTCTTAACTTTAATATGTGTGAGACCCTGGGTTTGGTTCCTAGCACTGCAAAAAAATAAAATAAAAATAAATTTAAAAATACAGTTAACTCTGGCTGTAGTGGTGCACATCGTAATCCCAATGGCTGGAGAGGCTGAGACAGGAAGATAATGAGTTCAAGGTCAACTTCAACTTAGCAAAGCCCTAATCAACTTAGTGAGACCTTGTCTGAGAAAACAAAAAGGATTGGTGGTATAGCTCAGTGATAAAGCACTCCTGGGTTTGATCCCCAGTGCCAAAAGATTTCAAAAATATATACAGCTACCATATGATACAGCAGTCCCATCTCTGACTATATATATATCCAAAGTAGGGTCTCAGAGAGGTATTTRTATATCCATGTTCATAGGAGCACCATTCATAGCTAAGAGGTGGGAGCAGCCCAGATGTCCATCAATAGATGAATGGATAAACAAAATGTGGTAGCTGCATATAACAGAATATTATTCAGCCTTTAAAAAGGAAGGAAATTCTGACATGTACTACAACATAGATGAACCTTGAAGATATTATGCTTAAGTGAAATAAACCAGTGACAAAAAACAATAAATAACATAATTCTGCTTACGTGGGTGAGGTACCTAGAGTAGCCAAATTCATAGAAACAGAAAGTATGACGCTGGCTACTATGGGCTGAAGGGATGTGGAAAAGAAGATGTRTAATGGGTATAAAGTTTTAGATTTGCAAGAAGGAGACGTGAACAGAGATCTGTTT